CCAAATTAAGAAGGCAGTTACTTTTTTGAAAGGTATTTGGGCACGAGAAACAAAGCACCCTCAAATCCATCCATGCAATTTTGTCAAGTTACACAATTCTATGCTAGTTTAAGCCTGGGGACAAAATCTATTGAAAGGTAGTGGCATAAGAGATTCCAACTCGAGGCTCAATGGCTACCATACGAGATTCCAACTCTGTAGGAAGGGAGCGTGGAAATTGATCCTCTTGATGACCCTAACACAGAAACAAAAGAATTCTTGAGAGTTGACACTGTTATCCAAAGTAGAAAACTCTGTCCAGTAAAATTCTTGTCATTATGGGGGAGGTCAAGTTTGCCATCCATTAGCCCTTTAAAAGCTCCAAACAGCAGAAAGGAGCTCTCCAGGGGTAGAGCCTCTTGATAGTTCTCTAGCTCTACAGCCCTCTAGGGGAGTCTACATCAAGAGGGACCAAACCCTCATGCGTAAGACCTCAGCTAGGCATATAATCAGCTTGCTAGCTATTCTCAAACTTGCTTGCTTCAAAGAGATCTGAAGGACCCCTTGAAGCAAGGGGGTAAGGACAGATAAAGCAATGCAAAGCAATGAGCACAGTAACTCAGTAACAGGGGAAGTTTACTTCAAGAATTTTACTTCAAACATTCAAACATTAGACATTGTCATCAATATCTTGACCTTGGTATTACATTTCAAAATAGAAGTTCTGGTCTTTACAAAAAAAAAAAGACAGGAAGAGCTCCTACAGCAGCTCAGCAGATGATAAGGCAGGAAGATCAACAACATAGGCCTGTGGTAAGTCAACAATTGAAGTTTTTGAAGAAGAGATGCTTGGAGGTACAATGAAAAAAGGTTCTGGGAGCTCAGGAGTAGGTGGAAGAATAGGGGCTACAACTCCAATTGCTGATAAGCTTAGGGCCAGAGCTCTAGAAATGAGATCAGCAGAAAAGAGGGCAATCTCAGAGGTAATAGTAGGAGCACCAGGGAGCTCAGTAGTGGTGGGAGAAGAGACAACATCAGTAGCAGAATCCACAGGCTTAACCAGGGAAGGAGAAGCATCCTGAGCCAAGACCTCAGTACTCGAAATAGACCTCATAACACCTTCAAGAGCTGCCTCAAGAGCAGAAGAGGACTTAGCACTGACCTCAGGGTTAGCTGCCTCAGCTCCTTCTTCAGTAAGGATCTCAAAGTTAAAATTCAAACCGGGATAGGTCTCTTCAACCTCATCCTGGAAAGCGAGCCATCCAGTAACCCACTGGGTAGTAACATCGTTTGAAAGCTTGGAAATCAGATCATCTTTCTCCTTATTGACAATCCTCTACACCTCGAATTCTTTCCAAAGAACGTCACTTGCTTCTGCTAAAATATCATACTCGTTCTTCATATGCCTGAAGGAAGCCAAAGCATCAAGGGACTTCTTACTGGCCTTGATCCAATCATCGATCATTTGCAAGAGGTCTCCCTTTGTCTTTCTGAGCTCCTCGTGGGCTATCCTGCCCTCAATCTCAAGCTTCTCCTTCTTAGCCTCCAGGGTCTTTATAGCGGAATTCTGCCTCTCAACTTGAGCCCTCAAGTTTTGAACCTAGGCTTTAAGGTCGTTATTCTCAAAGGACAACTCAGCAGCCTTAAGCTTGAAAGCCCTGGAAGCCATAGTCGAGCCCTCCTAAGCCTGGATCTTCTTCAATAAACCACTCACATGAATGGCCATCTGGAAGCAATCACAACCAAAGAGCTAAAGTGATCATGAGGAAAGGAGGAAAGGCGAAGGAAAAATCTAAGAAATTAAGAAGAAATTAAGAACCCACAGAAATAGAGCCAAACAAGGCAATGGAAATGGAGGTCCCGAGGGATATGGTTGCAACCTTTTTTATTTCAGACTCTGGGATGATAGAGGCAATGATTTCTGCAGCACGTTTTACGTTGTCGATAAGGGAGCCTCCACTTGTCTCAACTTTGGGGAGCTTCCCCATCTCATCCCTGGAATCCTTGGTAAGTTGCTGAGAGGGCTTCTTGGGAGGGCAAGGAGGACAAGACCCAGGTAAGACACGAGTGACCATCTCCAAAGCTTTCTCAACCTCAGCCGAGGAGGGAGAGCCCGTGACTATACTTTATTCAACAGTTCCTCCATAGCAGGCAACTTAGCCTCAAGGGAGGAAGGGGACTGTGTAATCTTCTGGGAGCTCGTAGGCAATAGAAACACCACTTGAGACACTTGGAGAGAGGTAGAAGGTGCTTCCAACCTCAATACTGTGGTTGGGGAAGATAGGTCACTCCTAGAACCGACTTCAACCTTGCGCTTATTACCACTCCGAGTTTTCCTTTATCAAATCCACCTTAGCTTTGCGATCTTTCATGGTGGGCTCCATCGATGAAGAACCTGAGAAGCACATGATAAATGGGTTAGAAGAAAAGAAAGGAAAAGGAAGGTTAGAGTAGAAAAGAGCAAAGGCATAAAAACTACCTATTATTCCTTCAACTCTTGCAACGGAAAGAGGGATGAGGGTTTCAATCCTCACCTTTGGAGGGCTGAAACACAGTCTGGTAAGCTCGGAAGGATCAATTAGACTGGAGTACCTCTCAGGTTTCTAGTCTCTGAAGGTGATTAGAACCGTTTTGTCCTCTACTCCTAGCTTAGGACGAACACTTGGAACAGCCAAAGAAATGAGCTTAGTAGCTATGGCGAGAAGAAGATAGGAAGGCCTTGTTACGAGCCCTTAAGCTTACCAAGGTTATCTGGACTCGCCCAAGAGCATGGGATTAAAAGTGAGTCAGAGACGTCATTGGGGTCAAATTCCCACGTTTTTCCTGACACAAAGAAGAACTATTTTTTTCAGTTCTTATGAGAGCTAGGCAGGTCAATAATTAGGGCGGGGATATTCACCCGTTGGCAATGTATAGAAAGTCGTCTGGGTTGAATTTAACATTGAAGAATTTCATGAGCAGCGGAATAGTAGGGGTACCAAGTTCGTTTTTCTTGAAAAAGACTAGGAGGCCCACTAGCACCCCCAAAAGTTATTAAAGATCTGAATAGGGCAGACATTAAAATGTTGAAGAACTGACTTGATAAAGGGGTGCACAAGAAACCTAAGCCCGTTCTCAAGAAAAGCAACAAAAAAGTAGGTTTTATCGGGAACCTCAGTGTTATAATGAGTGAATTCATTTTGGCACCAATACCCTACAACCTGGGGAAAGCCGAAGCGAGCAACTATGACTTTCATATAGGGAGGAAAGACCTCGCTAGTGCCTACAAGTTCTGTAACTCTGGAACCTATACCCTCAGTACTGCTGGAGATCCCTAAGACACTCACATTGGTCTTACCTTTATTGGGGGTCTTGGGCATTGGAGAGGGTGAGGAGGGAGGCTCCTCAATATTTTCCTCAGTATCCATAGAACCAACACCAGGAAAATTATCGATATCCTCTCCCAGATCTCCTAGGTCAAAATCCTCTGTTTTAGGAGATCTATCCATGAGGGAAACCGACAAAGCACTAGCTTAGAAGAGGCAAACATAGTGGGAAAAGAAAAAGGGAGCCTAAAAGATCTATAGAGAGGAGGCACCCCTGAATAACACTCTCTGATGATCATAGTTTCGATGCAACAACTTCCGATAACGAAAATCCTAGCAGTAGAATAGGGATCCAGGAAAATTGGGAGACGAGATAAGGAGAGACCTCGATTCCTAAAGTAGCAGAACTGAAAAGTCCAAAAATGCAATAACCACCTTAGGTTCAGGGGATCCAGAACGAAGAAACACACAAGGGGCAGAAGACGTACCTAATCAAGGGCGGATGGCAAGTCAGAACCCCAAAGCGAGAAATAAAGAACAAGTCTTGCAAGCCAATTCGAGGAAGGATAACAACTCAACAGAACCCTAAGATCACTGATGAATTGGGGATGCGAGGAAGAAAAGAAACCAAAATAGGAAATTCAAAGAATGGGGTGAAAGTCGTTTCCCACCAACTCAGATGCATTTAAAGCTACTGGTACGTTGGGACTTTGGAATAGGGAACGTGTGTGAGAAACAAGGAAGGAAATAATTGGCTGTAACCGTCAAAAACATGTTCGCACGACTATCGAGATCAATGGGTAGAGGTCTACTGCGGCCCAGCCCTGATACAGGCCTAGTCCAAGCTAGCTTAAACCAAGAGCTAGGGGCAACTGATGATACCAAGAAAAACTCTAGGTATGAGCTCAGGAGAGGAGTTCAGGTAATGATCTCGGATCAGGAGGTCAGACAATAACCAGAGCTCAACGATCCAACAAGCAAGGAAATTGAGAAGAGGACAGCTGGCTGATGAAAGACGTCCTTATAGCAATGGGGAGCTATAATTAAGGCACAGGACACTTAACCAACCAAAGATCTCCCTAAAATCAAGGGAGAACCCATGAATGAAGGGCAAAAATCTCGCTGCAGATTCTGAAGAGATAGGAATTGGACTATAAATATTATACAGTGCCTCCACTGAGAGGCCGGCAAACCTAGTTTCGTTAAGAACACTCTGTAAGTCATATCCACCATGAATAAAGATTAAAGGAGAAGGAGACTGCATTGAAAAGTGAATTAGCTGAGCTCTGAAGCTAGTGAACTACAATAATTACATTGTGTTAAATCCTCAGATCCCTTTTGAACCTTAACCGCAACTCTCACGAGCCTTGCAGCTCAGGACCATAATCCACAAATTCTTTTCATCCCCTTGATTACACCATTAGAAATAACACGTCCTTAAGACACAGTGAGGCATAAAATCAGAGCATTCAAAACTCGATCTCACTGTATCATAAACAAAATTTCTTAAAATTAATTTATTGACAATTTTCTCAAAATACATGTTCTTACAAAAATATCAATATATGTACACTTTTGTGTATGAGTAATATTCAAAATAAAAATAATACTGAGTTACATATTAATTAAAAATTAAATGATTTAACTTGAAATAGAAATGAATATGTAGGGATAAAATTCTAGCTGACTTTTTTTTTTTTTTTTTGCAAATTTCCTTTAACAGGTACTTGGTTTTGGAGTTGGCGTAGTTTACTTTGGCATGCCACTGGGAATTCAAAACTTGTCGGTTGATCTCTATCTTGGTGTAACCCTCAATGCTGTAATGGAGATTCCGGCAATGTTGATCTCCGTTTTCTTCATCGGAAAATGGCAGAGAAAGACTTCATTGCTTGTGTTTAACACCCTAAGTGGTGTCTGCAGTGTACTGTGTGCCCTGGTAAGTGATCGGTGGGAGGTTCTCTGAGTAAGTCTCGAGCTCTTATCGTTTATAGCTGCTTATATAGCCTTTGCGGTGTTGCTGATATTCACTTTGGAGATGTTTCCGACCTGTGTTCGAAACTCCGCCTTGTCAATTGTGAGGCAGGCGGTGACCATCAGCGGCGTGATAAGTCCTGCGCTAATAGCTGCGGGAAAAAATGTTGCTTTTATGTCGTACGGAGTGTTTGGATTGATGATTGGTTTTTGTGGGCTTTTTGTGGTTTGTTTGCCGGAGACGAAGGATGATGCTCTCTGTGATACAATGGAAGAGCAAGAGCAGAAGGAGAGTGGAGCGTCAACTAATGGTGTATAGCTGACTGTTTGTGATCATTGCATGGATGATATTCTCATCAACCTAGTAATTATTTTTCTCGTTTTAGAGTTCATTATTATAATTATTATTATTATTATTAAACTTCAATTTAATTTCTTTTTTTAATGTACTAGTTATTGTGCATGTGTACTATTTTGCATTATATTTTATATTTTTGTTATTTTTTTTGTTTTACAATATAGATTATTTTCTCTACTATAATGTATGGTCATGTTAAATAACAAAAATATTTCAGTAACAATACGCTGACCAAAATTAAGAACCACATAAAGAGCACAAATGACATGATCACAGAGTTCAATCCAACCCAATTAATAAATTGATTCAAATAACATAATAATAATAATAATAATAAATAATTTTTTTTTTTTTAATCTTACTACTTTTCTTATAGTGAACTATTCATTATTTCCGGGAATTCCTTGAAATTTTTGAAAATATGCTAACCAATTTGTGGTAAAGAACATAAAAGAACGATTGAGAGAGTCACTACTCAAACAAGCAAAAAAAATCTAAGACATGCATATTTGAGAAACAATACTGCTACTAATCATTCTATTGAGAATTTGAGATTCCAAATTTCCTACCCAAAAAGAGATGGGAAAGCAACAGTATCAAAGACATATACATTCAATTGGACGTATATTGTCACAAGACTCAACCGAGGAGGACACGGGTATTTTCATGAATATAAACAAAATTTCCAAATTTGCTTTATTAATCAGATGCACGCAGCTGGAGGGGTTTGTTGTCCATCTCATCACCTTTGTCACGCTCTAATCTTGTCAATCATCAGATCCGCTGCCTGACAACATGTTATAGTGAGATAAGATGATAACAGATTCATTACATGATCAAACATATCAAAACCCAAATGACAATAATTGGTCACTATTAGCTAACAGATTCGATATAGTATCACAATTATCAAAATGCAAATCCAAAATTTGGTTAATTATCGATAACAGATTTTGATACATGATTAAAAAATCATCTCAACAAAGTATTGTCTTAATATTTTTAGGGTCAACTATATGAATCATGTTTCTCTATTGGGCTTAGATTATCCAAATCTATTTCCCATAAATTGCTCAATGATCAATTGTCAAACAATAGCCTTTTCCTAAACCAAATGGACATACTAATTTAGATTCATTTGACCAAACACAAACCAACTATGGAACTTATTGATCAATGCCAACCCAACAAACCAGTGCACAAAGTTAATATTTTTAGATCTCATCTTCAATTCTTAGATCAAGCCAAAACCATGTGAATCCTGATATCAACAACAACACGCATATGAGTAAAATGTAGATTGACACACCTCAGGTCAGATTCACACCATTACATCTTTGCTGCTGCCCGTCAATCTTGGATGGTTGGTGTCTTTTACAATCAAAATGGGCAACCCCACACTTGTGCCTACACACATACACAAGCATGCACAGAAAGTGAACAAATTAGAGATAAACTAGTCGGTGTAGTGAAAAAGAGAGAAAGAGGAGATTCATAGAATTTGGAAACAAAAGTGTGCCACCCAAATGCCGTTTCAATTGTCTTATTCATGAAATAAAATTAAGATATTTGAGATGCAATGAATGACAACTATAAGAGATATTATGGTGAGAAGGTGGAGACATTCAAAAATAGTTATGGATACATTTATGATGGATAGTGCATTGAACACAAGAATATGAAACAATTTCCACCGGAAGAAGAGTTCAAGTTTGGAGGAAGAATAAAAGTCACAATAAGGTATTTCTTAGTTTGTTAAGGGTATTATAGTTAATCAAAAAAATTTCACTTTTGTTGACATTTTAAAGTAGTATAGATATAGATTATTGGTCATGGCCACTTCAAATTGTTTTAGCACACTATCCAAGCCCCTTATATAGCTTGTAATTACCAAGCAATTGGAAGCCGCTTTCATTAACGAGGCCCAAAAATTATATTAAGCAATCTCTACTTTCCATCTAGATTAGCCAACTCCTATGTTTCCATATTTTCTTTCAAAATTTACCAATTTTGTTGGAAGATTCTATGAATTAGGGGATTAGATTCAGATTCAGGACAGCCATAACTACTGAATAGCAGACTTTGGTGAAGAAGATAAGCTGTCATCATTAATATGACTGAAGACTTTTGTGTATGTTTTACCCTATTAATTGGGGGCGTCTCTCCCTGTATCATACACACACAAATCCACAATGTAATCTAAATATTCATATAGTGGAAGCCCTGGAAAGTTATGTCTGTGAATGTAGGTCTGAATAAGTCAAACGACGTAAATCTGCGTGCTCTTTTTCTACTCCCATATTCTCGTCTAAAATCTGTGATGAGTGTTCAAAAGGCAGATTTAAATTTTGGAACTGTTTTAAAGCACATGCAAGATGTAGATGATCTCCTTTGAGAAAAAAAGATTACTACTACTACTACTAATATCCAGGGACGGATCTACAGTTGGCGGGAAAGGGGTGGGGCTGAGGGCAGCTACCCCATTGGAATTTTAAAAAAAATTAGGACCTGGATAAAATTTTGAAAATTTCAAAAATTTCAGAATTTTGCCCCCATTGAAATTTTCATAGAGTATAGGGTTAATGAGTGTAATTTTTAAACATCAAAACATAACTTTGACAGCTTTATATTTCACGCCCTTCGTCTTCAATTCTTCGTCAAACTTCAAAACTCAGTTCTTGCCCTTTCTTAACCAGCCTCTCTTCTTTTCTTCTTTTGTTATATTCATCAACAAATCGACTACTTAGTTGTTGGCTCCCGTTAGGTTCCCATCCCTCTCTTCACATCGCAACAACGCTAATCACTAAGTACTCTTTAGTCAGGCACCACCATTTCAATTTTCCTAAAATAATCTCACTGGTTACAAATCTGCACTATTGCTGATTATGTGAACAATTATTTTGGTTCAAAGTTATGCAAATCAGCATATGAAGAAACCCTAAAAGATAATGTTGAAGCTATAGAGAGATAACCCATTAACCATTAAAATATTTTTCACTGGTTACAAATCCACGATGAGAGCCCTAAAAGATTCTATGAGGCCTGTCTAGAGGTAAATCAATAACCCATTAAAGGGTTCTAAAAATTTTCAGAGATTTTTCACATGTTGGAAATTTTTTATTTTCTAAGATCCATGATAAAATGTAGTGATTTTTCTATCAAACCATTGTTGTCTATTAAGTGTTTGTTAAAATGCCACAGACAAAAAGCAATATATATAAAAACAATGATTATTTGTGAGCCCTAAGAAAATTATGGACTACCCAAGATCAAAAGGGTTGTAATTTTTAAATATTTTATTGGAACAATTGCAAATTAAAAGAAAATGGTTGGTCAATGTGCTATTTTTTTTTTTTTTGGTAAGTACCAATGCTACTTTTTGAGCTAACTTCATGATATACTATTAACTTGAGTCTGTGTAGTAGAATCACTTCAATGAAAATTTCTTTGAAGGTGACGAGGACAATATGGAGTTTGATGCTAAGAAATTAGTTTAACAAGACCATACCATAATTATTTTATTTGTAATAAAATCCGTGAGGTTGAACTGAAGGCTTATCGCCTTCATAAATTTTGATAGTTGTCATTTGAAATTAGTCATCTCCTAAACTTAACTTACTAGTCGCTCTTTTTCTAACCATATAATTATTTGATTTTATTGATTACTTGAAATTTTAATTTGGGTAATATTTTGAATTAATCAATTGAAAATTTGCCTATTATGAGTTACTCTTTGGATTAAAATGTTCCATTAACTGGTTTAAATAATTTGCTAGTGATTGATTAAATTGTTCCCCAATCTCAATTCCTTTCTAAATTATTTTTGTTAAATTTGTTTGGTTTATTTTGGTTATTTAAGCTCTATAGAAGTTTTTTGTTAAAACGTAAAGGATAAAGTATCGAATTAGAGTCTAACTAAAGTACTTAACAAGTTTGAAGTTGCCTCCAACTGCTTAACCATCTTGGCTCCGCACCTGCTAATATCTGACCCTCTAAAAGCACATATACAATATAGCAATCACAAAACATGTAAAAAAAACGTTTAAGTATTAAATAACACTTTTTCAAGTAAAAGTTTAGCCTAATACCTTGATATAACGATTTGTTAGCTGGTATATCCAAAAAAATGTCCAATAAATAAAATTACCAGGCCATACAAATTGCTACATCACCAGACCAGTTAGGGTTGGAGCTAAGTTTCAATATTGAAAAAGGGGGAGGGGATATAAATAAAAAATGTAACATGTCACAGAAAAAATTAGGGCCATTATATTGTTTTGCAAAAATACAAGGGGGCAATGGGTTAAATTAGGCCATGCTATCAATAAAGAAGGAAGAGTGAGATTAGTGTAACTCCTAAAATGTCCATAATCTCTTTGTTTTTTAATTTTTTTTTCAAATATCTACTTATAATTACTTCTTTTAACTCCATTCAACCGTCTCTACTCATGAAATGCCAATATCACCCTCTATTTCTTCCAAAATAACCACCTAACTCGTTATCTGGATATATTTAACTATCTATTTTCTATTCACAAACACAATCATATGTGCAAGATGTGTAACTATAATGAGACAAAAGACAGCAATAGTTCCTAACATCTATGATTTGTGTCACTTTCCTTATAACTTCAATCATTTAAGTCATTATTCAAATATAATTATAAAAAATGTTGGGTTAAATTGACTACAAAAGTTATCACACGAATCTCACCCAACTATATTTAAGATGCATTCTTTGTAACTTCAGAATTTGATAACGTAAGTGTAGTTTTCTTGAAGAAAAGAATTAAATTATATTGTCACCTCAAGAAATCTTTAATTTATAAAAGACCCCTCATGTGTTGCCAGCTTCCACTTTCATTAGAATTTTGATTGTGAACTTCGATTATTGTTATGTCTGATTGTGAACTGTGAATTCAAGAGATTTTGAATTTTGTTAAAAAGTTGCGAATTTCCTGAACTCCTATTGTTAGAGCAATCTCTACTAAAATAGTAATTGCCAACAAATGTCAATCTGTTTATATTGATTTCAATTTCTTTAATTAAAACAACTTAAAGTAATATTTTTTTTTTCAAATTAATCGGTTGGTATACATTGCACCGTGCCTTCAGACACGGGTTTATTCCTAGTACTTTACTAAAAGTGCATCAATTAGCAATAAAAATTATAATTAATAAAATTAACTTTGAATTTTTTTTTTTAAAAAAAACTGGTTCAATAATTATCCATATAGCAAATCAAAGCACTTGAATGAATTGTATCGCGAAATATGGAGGGCAACTACGACTTTGCCAAGTCCATGAAAATAATGCTCAATAGCTAATGATTAATTAGCCATAAAAATAATGGTATGAAAATAATGTTTTGTACCAAAAAAAACATCATACCACATTATATATCAGGAGATCTCTATTTATTAACCAATATCAAGGTCAAATCAATTAATTCAAAAAAAGTGAGAAAGCTAATCTATAAGAGCCCGATCATTTATTCAATAATTAATAGTGTATGATCACCGACAATCAAAGAAAGTCAACAAATTCAATAGTGAAAAAAATCCGTTAGGGGCTATGAGAACACCAAGTAAAAAAATTAAGCGCACCAACCCAAGAACAAGTCAAGATGTAAGAACACCAAATTGGGATTAAAAAATCAAGACCACAAATAAGAGCTTACCATTTTACATAGAACAAATTGACACCTTTGGAGATTGAGAATGTTCCAGCCCAACCCTAGGCTATCGCGTATCATGTCACACCGTTGCTAGCTGGAAAGGATGAGGAGGATGAATTTAGATTACTGTACCAACAACTCTAGTCAATGCAATTCAAGAAAATAAACATCATAGCATCTAACTATAACAATAGTTTAAACTCAAATGGAATGACAAATAAATATTACCATTACAACAAATTTGTACATACAAAAGGATTCAATTTGGGTCCAAATGAATATTAACACATCAATACATTCTTATCAAATAGAATAACCCATGAATCAATACCACACCTATTTCAACAAATATAATCAATGATTTCACCCAAAATATTAATCAAGGTATGATAGAGAACTAATTCAACATATATCCAAAAAATCTAGCATTAAGCAAGAATCTCAATTGCAATCTAGACATTGAAATCAAAAAATGACCTTGAAATCGAAATCAAATTAGAGGGGGAGGTGTTGGATGTGTGCCCAGCGTAATCCAAATCCATTCACTCAGATTCACTCATATAAATTCAAATAAAAACTTACAAAGGTATGAAGTGGAACCTGCATTTTTCTTAACACAACTCCTTAGCATAAAATCACACAAAATATAATTTTACATTGGCATCCACCTATAAATAGAGGAAATAAAACATATACCCTTATTACCTTGGTATCCACCTATACAATAAGTTAGTATAGAACTATCCATTGATGCCTCCCACTAAACGACTCAACACTAAAAAAATTAGGGCAGTACAAAAAGTTATTCAGAGCATGTCTCATTCAACTTAATGCTGCCAGCTCAATTGTGACCATTTAAAAATTCTACCAATTTTAGGGATGAAATATTTGCACCTAGGATAGAAAAACACACTCTCTTGGGCTTCCGATGAATTAGAAAATGAAGAGTCAAACATAACCACAATAACACTTAACGAATAAAATTAATTAAAACTTTTAGATATTCAAAGCAAAAATAAACAAAAAGTCGAAATTGCAATGAACATGTATATGTGCACATGCAATGGATAAAAAATCCAATAAAGAATATCTAAAACAAAAGGATGATGTGGCATCCTAGGCTAAAGTGACAATTTTAAGTTTTTATAACCAATACCCCACACTGGTGTCTTCCTAACTCAAACGATATAAATATGTCACATTGGGTTAATGATAGCACATGAAAATGTATGAAGTGGTTTCTGTTAGCAATCCAAAACAAAAGGCATGAAATGGTTGTTCCCTCAAAAATAAAAAAACAATTACTTTGCTTTTTGACTTCCATAAGACAAAATGCACCTCCAAATTGCATAATTCAAACCGAAAATACATTGTTTTTGACTTCTATAAGACAGTACACATTACAATAGCAATGGAAGTGCCATTTGGCTTGCAAGATTGTGTTGTAAAATGCCATCAATTAAAAGTGTAGTTGACAATTTCATACCCAAACTCAACCCACAAATCGGAAAATGCTTTATTGTGGTCTATTAGACACCCAAATATATGAACTGTATGTCAAAAAGGGAAAATAGGATATGTCATATGAGAGTGGTGGAAGCATATGTTTTACTCAAACGCCATGAGTACAAGCAGTCATAACTCCAGAAAATCATCACAAGCAAGCTGCCAACATTCCACAAGGTTTAAATTTAACAAAACTTTTCTATAGTAATAAATGCTAAGAAAAGTAAAGACCATTAAAAACACATTGTCAACCTAATGACATCAATCAGATCCAAAAAAACCAAACCAATTGTAGTATCTATGGATATGTTTCAGGAAATTTAGATCTTAGCTTGTTATATCTCATAGCATTTGTAGACCCAACATTGAAACCCATACCTTGGGCAAAGTTTCTAAGTAAGCATTAGGAATCTCCATCTCAGCAAGCACATTGCTATTGATTGCCAAGGCTGCCTTCAGTATCTGGTTGGTACAATCCCTGCATTGCTGCAACCTCTTCCTTGCATCCACTGACAAGTGACAACCCTTTTGGAGGAACTTTTGGGTTCGGGAGCCACCACTTCTCTTCCTGCCTAATTGAAGGCCTTCCACCTGACATACCCAATGGATACTAATCACAATTTTCCACATCAGGGACAATTATACCTCATGTCATTATGAGGACTATTAACATAGCATCAAGCTTTTTGAGTGCAGGGAGATTCATATACAAATCTGACCATGGCCTTGTTGCCATTACTTCATATGTGCCTCCACAGGGGAATTGTTGTATGGAAGGCACAAGCTCTACCATGGAATCACTCACACATAAGAGCCACTCCATCTCTCTGCACCACATTGCCCTCGTCTGTGGTGCCAATGGCACAACATCCATAGCTCCCCAGAGACAGTGGCTACCATTACAAATGAAGAAAGATATCAATAAAGCAAATAAGAAACAACTATTATTGGTGAAATGATGCAGAGTACAACCTTACAAACTAATGTTAAATCTAAACTCACTTCGTACAATCACCCAATTACAAACAAATAATTATCAGTATGAAACATGAAAACCCCAACATAAAATGGCAAAAAAAAAAAAAAGAAAAAAAAACTAAATCTAAATGCCCTAAACCTCTTTTTTCCAATAAAAACAGAAAAATTAATGCTAAGATACAACTCCAAACCCATAGTTATTAGCAGCAAACAATCATCACATAAACCAAGCATCACATAAAATTATCGAATATTTGCCCATGTATCTTCGGCCAGTCACCATCTCAAGTAAAATCACCTCGCAGGTGTAGACACAGCTTTTTGAAGTCAAATGATATCACCTCTTTCACAAATCATAAAATCGTAAAACAGCAGAACACACAATAAACTTGAAACAACAATTTTATAATGGCTTTATCCATTAACTTATACCAAAAAGTCAAGAACCCAAAATTCTACACCTTTAGAAATTAAGATATTCATATTTCATAGCATCTCAGTGACACCAAAATAATAGAAAGTCCCATCCTTTTGTGGCTATAGTTATCTAGAAGAATGTATTTAAGTGTCTATACTGCCGTGTGTTTGTGTTTGTGTTTGTGTGTGTGTTCGACTGGAGAGAGAGAGAGAGAGATAGAGACAGAGAGAGGTACCTGGACTTCATCGGGTGTTGTCTACTGCCTGTGTGTGTGTTCTACTGCTTGATCGGCGGTGGATTCGTCGGCCGTAGGTTGATCGACGGTGGGTTGAGCCACGACAGAGCAGCGAGAAGGAGAGAGACAGAGAGAGGGGCTCCAAAATGGGTCTTCTAGAAACGAGAGAGAGAGAAGGGAGCGTGGAGAAGATGTTTGGGTAACTGTGTAGTGTTGGGTAGTGTTTAAAAGGCGTTTTGGGCTGAATTTTTTTTTTGCTTGCTATGAATTTTTAAGAGATTAGATGAAATCTGAATTATTTAAAAAAAATTTAATTTAATTTTAATGTTTTTTAAAGTGATGTTGATGGCCGTTGGATGAATTAATTTGAAATCGTTGGATGTTGAAGCAGCCATATTTTATATTATCAATACAACAAATACATATTAATATTATTCATTTAAAAATTATTTTTCTTGTATTTGAGATGTAAAACTACTGGTTTTGCATTCAAACTTTAGTTATAAAAAATCTACTAGTTATTTTTTTAATTCAAGCTTTAGTTTTGTAAAACTACTAGTTATATATTCAAAAATATGCTATAAATTAAAAATATAGAAAAAAAATTAAAATTTATTAATAGAACTAAATTTTTTGAAACGACTATAGTAAGAATTTTGAATTGTAAACTACTCAAATCTAATATGTTTTTATGTCATTATGTGCCTGTTTTTTGTGTATTTAAAAAAATAATTGAGCAAAAAAATAATTCATATTAAAAAAATATCTCGAATTTAAATGAATAAAAAAATATAATTTAAGAAAATTATGTGATAAATAATTAATCAGCTAATTGACTTTGATTATAATAAATTAAAAGTATTGCGTTAGGAGATAACTCATTTTTTTCTGGATTTTATAAACATAAGTAAGATTGAAAAAGTAAAGATAATATAAGAATATTAATTTGATCATATCGTGTCAAAATTTACTTAATATATGTCCGTCCTACTTATAATCATATTTAGTTTAACGAGTTTGTGTCATGTTTCATTAGGAGTCATTTCAACTTGCAGATTTGAGGGACTTAGTAATTTCATCATTTTATCATCTAAATCTATTAAGACTAGATTCAAACTCATTAATGTCGTGTCAATTTTTTATTGGCTCATAGATTGAACCTAAAATTACAAAACTAGTTAAAATTTGGGGCCCTAAAATTATTTTAATTGAATCATAAAAAAAAATTTGGGGGCCCCAAATATTACTATTTATTTGGGGTCCTATGAGTGGCCTATGGCTAGGGCCAACAGTCTTCACACAAGCCCATGGTACACGTACATTACATGTACAATCACGCCCATCAATGCAAATCCGTCATGTTGACGGATTCGTATCTAAGCAACCCAAATCAAAATTTTCAACAATGGTTGACTACTAAATGTGTGTGTATAGGGGGGAAGAGAGAGGAGGGAGAACATGAGGAATAGGATCAGAATGGTGATGAATGAGAGAATGAGAGATTGTGGTAGGTTGGAGATAGGGAAAGGTCAATGCGGGTTAGTAATGAGTTAAGGGCTATGCGAGGGAGAGGGAGGGGGCTATGTAAGTTCAGGTGGGGATTGTGCCTAGTAAGGTAGGCAAACGAGATGGGAGGGAGTGGGGGACGATTTTGCAATGTTGGGCAACGGGTGTGCATGATAGAGTATAGAGAATAACATGGTGGGTGATGTAGATGGGATAAAGTTGATGTCATGCCCCATCCCGGTCTCCCAAGGATAGGATGTGATAAGGTTTTTGATACACTTTTCTTGCATCCCGATTGAATACTCATTCAAAACCCATAAATTATGTTCAACACACTTAAATAAACTCACAAAAAAATATGTTTTGAAATTGAACTAAAAAACCCACACATATTCACAAATACTTAAAATTAATCACACACACACACTAAAATGAACACACACACACCCTTATCTTCTTCTTGTTTTCTTCTTACTTTTGGTTTGACATAGAGTCCCCCAAATTCTTCTTTCTTTCTTTCTTTTTTTTTCTTTCTTCTTCCTCTCCTTTACTCTCCCTCGCTCACAGTTTCAACAAAACCAGAACACACACTAACTTTACTACATATTAAAGTACACACATACACATTTTTTCTACACCTAGTCAAACACACACACACACGTGGCACACACACACACATGCACTTGACCTTTCCAAAATGACCCATCACCTTATGTTTGACACATGTGTAAAGATATTTCATGAAACTTTCATAATTTTGCTTGCCTCCCCCCAAAATTCTGAAGTTATTTCAAAATCAACCCAATACTATTTTCATACACAAAATTCTATCTAATAAATATTTTCACATAATTGCAATTAGTCCACATAATTATGATAATATGTATGCAATGCATGATTGGATCTCACAACTCTCTCCTACTAATAAACAGTTCGTCCTTGAAATTACTTACCTAGACTAAACAAATGAGGGTATTGAGTCCACACACTTTCCTCAGTCTCCCAGGTTGCTTCCTCTACTGAGTGACTTCGCTACAAAACCTTTACCGACAGTATTGTCTTCGTGCGTAGTACTTTCTCCATCCTATCCAAAATCTGAACCAGTTGCACTACATAAGTCAAAACCTCAGCTAATTCCATTGGTTCTAAAGTCAACACATGGGATAGGAGAAACAAGTATTTTCATAACATAGAAACATGGAATACATCATGCAACTTGGACAACTCTATTAGTAACTTTAACCGGTATGCAACAGCTCCAATCCGCTCTATGATGTTGTACGGACCAATATACCTGGGAGCCAACTTCCTTTCTTGCCAAAATGAATGACCCCTTTCCAAGTTGATACCCGTAGGAATACTCGATCACCCACCTAAAATTCCAAATCACGACGCCGATTATTTGCATAACTTTTCTACCTGCTTTGTGTCCTCCGTAAGCTCTCCTATATGACTTTAATCTAATCAATAGTCATTTGCATAATTTCTGGACCCAATAACTTCTCTTACCCACTTCATTCCAACACATTGGGGTCCTACACTTTCTCCCATACAAAGCTTCATATGGTGTCATCTCAAGCGAACTATAATAGCTATTATTATAAGCAAATTCAATTAAAGGCAAATATTTATCCCAGTTACCTCTAAAGTCCATGACACAAGCTCTCAACATGTCCTCCAACGTCTGAATAGTATGCTTTGTTTGTCCATCTGTTTGTGGGTAGAATGTTGTACTAAACTTCAAAGTAGTGCCCAACATAGTCTATAAGCTAGGCCAAAACCTCGAAGTAAAAACGTGGATCCTCGTCAGAGACAATAGATACATGTACATCATGTAGTCTCCCAATCTCATCAATGTACAATCTAGCTAGTCTATCAAGAGAATAGGACATTTTAACAGCTAGAAAATAAGCAGACTTCGTCAACTTATCAACTATTATCCAAATGGCCTCATGTCCTCTCTGTGTTTGGGGTAAATTACTCACAAAATCTGTAATGATATGCTCCCACTTTCATTCTAGAATCGTTAGAGACTGTAATAACCCGGCTGGTCTCTAATGCTTAGCCTTCACCCGTTGACATATCAAACATCGAGCCGCAAACTCAGCTATCTCTCATTTTATCCTAGGCCACCAATAATGCTATCTCAGGTCACAATACAATTTTGTACTACCTGGATGCATAGCATATGTTGAACTATGTGCATCCTCCAGAATTTCTCTTTTTAACCTTGCATCATTAGGTACACATAACTGAGAACCAAATAACAAAACATTAGCACTCTCAACAATAAAACCAGTCTTCACCTCTTTCTTCAATTTCTCAATCTGGAGATCAAGTTTTTGCGCCTCCCTGATCCTATCCACTAGCACTGGTCTTAAAGTCACTGTAGCAAGTAAAGCTGCAGTCTCTCCTATCCCTAACTGCACTCTCAAAAATTTCAAATTCACAAATAAACTCCTCCAAATCACTTGTAAACTAGACAATCTGTCTGATGATTTTCGACTCAAAACATCTGCCACAATATTTGCTTTCCCTAACTGGTAATGAATGGTGCAATCATAATCCTTAATAAGCTCAATCCAGCATCACTACCTCAGGTTCAACTCTTTCTGGGTAAACAGATATTTTCAAACTCTGGTGATTTGTATAAATTTCACATGTAACCGCATATAAAAAATGTCTCCAAAATCTCAGTGCGAATACAATAGCTACAAGCTCCAAATCGTGGGTAAGAAAATTACATTCATGTGGTT